AAAAAACCTGTTCAAACAATTGAATACATCATAGGTAGCACATCTGCTACCTATGATGTATTCAATGATTAAGGTTTGTTAATTATCTTCTCTATATGCAAAAAACAAAAAAGTCATCGATAGAATCGACAATCAAAGTTTTCGTAAAAATCGAACGCTGAAGATTCATTTTTGATGTTGTTGGCGAGAGAAGGACCAAAGAAATTGTTTATCAAAACTTGAATCGTACCTGTCACAACGAAAACTCCTTTCTTTGAAGAACTGATACTAACCTAAATTCTATGCGTATAACACCTTCACAATCACATAAAACACCGTGGGTCGTACGTGTCCTGCCATTGACCATATGACACACCAGTCGATCGTATAGTAATTTTTAGAAATTTTCCAATTCACGATGATACTTTGGAACTTCGCATACGTTTTGCAGAATAAACTAAAGTAGATAAATATTCTGGTTTTCTAAATAACGGCTTTTCCTTTCTTTAGCATGCGCCAAATGCAATTTCCAAAACAGCAAGTAACATCCATATAGATCAAGACATGTGTCAAGTCTTTAGCTTCCCATAAACCCAAGGCTGTTCCAAAGGATTGAGCCTGATTAGATTAATCTTCCTTGCATTATGCTCCTCATTAACCAAGACAGTTGTGCAGTTGTACTAATTTCAAGATTTGCGAGTGCCTTCGAACTCTATAGAGAAATGGTTTGCTGTGTAATACCTGTTGCTCGGCTGAGTGCAATAAGTCTTATTCAGCATTCTAGTCAAAATTCTACGATCATTGATTTGAATGTTATTGGCTTAATGAAAGCAAACGTAATTCTTGCGTGAATATTCGTGATTTCACATAGGTAGCTGTCTGCCATCATACTCATGCGACATGACGCTTGTATAATTTCAAACAACAAAAATTACAAAGTGTTTATTCGCTCTGCACTTTTGAATAACGTTCAGCGAATCGAAAGTGTATTAATTAGGAACAGCGCAAATTTCGTGGCACTTGTAAGCATCATTTTGGAGGGGAAAAATACGGATTATTGTCATTCTTGTTGTCAGCCCAAGGATCACAGAATCCTAGAGGCGCTTTTCCAGGGGCTGGTGGTGGTGGTGGTGGTGGCACGAATTGGTGGCGGTGGAGGGCTACCAGGGGCATCTGCAAGCGGAGGATATAAATCCGGATCTGCTTTTGGTGCTTCCCATGGCTTTGCTGGATTGGCAAGTTATTCGTTTTGTCATAGATATATCCTTTGCCTTTCGGACGAGATTGCTGAGGCTTTTGCCATGCTGGCTGACCCAAGTAAGGTTGGTAGCCCCGCTGACCGGACTGTTGCTGTTGATACGGTTGTGAGCCTATTGGTGTCTGTAGACCTGTTGTCCGTATAGCTGATGTCCGTAAAGTTGTTGCCCATAAGGTTGTTGATTGTATGGCTGTTGTGCTATCTGCTGTTGTCCTCCCTGCTTCTGTGGAGCAACGCGGATTCTCTGCATCTCGGCCGTCTTTTCCATCTCTACTGATCGAATCTTACTTGTTCTTCGTTCTCTAACGTTCTTTTCCTTTCTTTAGAAATTTAAACAACATCTACCTTCCTTACTCTTTTCTTTAAAATCTTACTGACCTTCAGACGAAAGTTTTGCAGAAGTCATTCAAAACTTACTTTTCTTTCCTGTTGCTGGAGATCTTTCTGGGCTGCTTGTCGAAAAGCCACCTTTCTGAAAGCCGCATCATTTCTAAGCCTGTATGAGATTTTTACAAAATCTCCATACTCTGCTCAATTCTTCACTATTTCTTTCGAATCTGTCGTAATTCTTCCATTCTCCATGCATGCTTTCTTCTAGCATATCTTCTATCTTTTCTCCTTGAGTGTCATCCTCTCTCATCAGCCCTAAATCTCATGATACAAGAAGTTTTTACTGTGCAAAAGCCTGCTTACCGCTATAGCTTCTTCCCGCTTCCTATCTTGCGCAACTCAAGGTGCTGTAAATCAGTAAAGCTGCTGTGGCTACAGCTTGCGCTATGCACAAAACCGTAAACCTGAACAGGTAGCGGAAGATATCCATAGACATATAAAGGTCAAAATGTGTCTGTGTGAATCTTTGTTCCGAATACAAAATTCTATTTGGTTTGCTAGGCTGTAATTTCCTCTCCTACAAACAAGCCGCTGCGCAGTTCCTAGACTATTTTTCGCCGCGATTCACTAGGCCCTTCTTTAGATTCATTGATTTGTTTGCTTATATTGGAGGAAATGAAAGTTTAGCATGGTCTAACTAATCACTTTGCCATGATCATATGAGGAGGAGCGGTAAAATTCATTTCAAGTTCAATGTCGGGAAGATAGGGCAATTCGTCTTAACGCGCTT